GTCAGGGGAGCCACCAATCCAAAAATAACCCTTACAAAAGTTGTTGGGTTTGGAGTGAGACATCGGATGGTGACTTTCAATTTCACCTTGACCTTGACCTTTATGGTCATTTGAAGGTCAAATCAAATTTTTTAAATAGAAATCCCTATTTTTGACCCCGGATTCGGAAAGAGCGCAAATTTTACGTTTAGATGGGTACTTGAGGCTCTTCTTTGGAATGACCTTCAGAGGTTATTTCATGGACAAAATATTTGAAATTACGCACCTGAATATCTTGTCGGGGAGCCACCAATCCAAATAACCCTTACAAAAGTCGTCGGGTTTGGAGTGAGACATCGGATGGTAACTTTCAATTTCACCTTGACCTTGACCTTTATGGTCATTTGAAGGTCAAATTGAATTTTTTAAATAGAAACTTTAAAGTTTCTTAATCGGCCTTAATCGGCTGGTTTCTCTATGGTCTTGCCTTAATTGGCCGGACAATGATTCTTGCCTTAATCGGCTGATTTCTCTATAGTCTTGCCCTAATTGGCCGGACAATGAATCTTGCCATCATTGGTCGGGTTTGTCGCGGTCTTGCCTTCATCAGCTGGACCAAAATAGGGCTCTAAAATCCATCCTGCTACGTCCTCGCCGTGAGCCCTGGACATCGATGTATGTATTATGTCGATGACTGAACGCAGGCACTGGTGTGAACAATTTTATTTTATACAAATGACTACTAATTCAAATATCTTAAAAAACAAACCACGATCAATTTTTCAGGTCATGCTAGACTTGTAAGCGGTTCGACCTTGAAATGATTTTTAAAGGTCATTTCGACTCTTAACATAACTTTAAAGTTTCTATTTAAAAAATTCGATTTGACCTTCAAATGACCTTGAAGATCAAGGTCAAGGTGAAATTGAAAATCATCATCCGATGTCCCTCTCCAAACCCAACAACTTTTGTAAGGATTATTTTCGGATTGGTGGCTCCCCTGACGAGATATTCAGGTGCGTAATTTAAAATAGGACATCCTGTATAATAATAAATATTTCTTAATGTATATGTTTATGGAAAATATTTATTCTTTATAATAAATTTTTGTAAAAATCAAGCGTTATTCTTACCATTATTTGCTCTCCGTCATATACACCAATATATGCAGTATTGCCAAACTAAACTCGAAATGGAGATGAAAAATCGTTGATCAGTGTATTCACAAATTGCACTATTTCTAAAAAAAACTTTTTTATTACTAAAAACCGGTTTCGGTTTTACATTTGGGTGTTCGACGCTAGGATTCGAGGCTTTATTAGGAGGTCTGGCTGTAAAGGTTTCTTTGTCAGAGCTCGAGGGATTTGGAGTTATTGAAAGTGGTAGGAGTGGGACAGAGTTCCTGGATAGAGCGTCAGCGTTTGCGTTGATTTTTCAAGCTTTGTATGTAACTTCATATTCATATTCCTGCAATTTCAAACGCCATCGTACAAGTCGCGAAGTTGGATCTTTTACGGAATGGAGCCATACGAGTGGCTTGTGGTCTGTAATTAAGGTAAACTTGCGACCGTACAAGTATGGGCGGAAATGGTTTACGCAATATACTATTGCTAGCAGTTCCTTTTCTATTGTCGAATAATTTTGTTCTGCATTATTAAGTAGCCGTGAGGTGTAGCTTATTGGCAAATCTTTGCCGACGGGTCCTTGGCTAAGGACTCCTAATGGCAAAACCCGAGGCGTCGGTAGTGACGACAAAGATTTTGGTAAAATCCGGGTATTGTAGTATGGGCTCTTTGCAAAGCATTGAACGCAGTTAAATGCAGAATTCTGCGATTCGGTTCAATTAAAGGTTACTTCTTTTTTTAGTAGGCTAGTTAGTGGTTTAGAAATCTTGGAAAAGTCGGGTATGAACCGCCAGTAGTATCCCGCTAAACCCAAAAATTGTTTGATATTTTTGGCATTTTTTGGGGGGTAGGAAATTGTTGAGCCGCTTTAATCTTTTGAAGGTCTGGTTTAACTCCCGTTTCGCTGATCACGTGGCCTAGGTAATTCACTTCTTTCCGGAGAAATTCGCGTTTATCGGGTTGGAAACGGTGTCCGGCTTGTCTGAGGCGGTCAGCGAGAGTTTTAAATTTTATCTCGTGTTCTCTGAGTGAACTGGAATAGAGCACTATATCTTCAAGATAAACGAATAGTTCTGTTCCTTGCAGCCTGCTCAGGACTTGGTCCATTAATCGCTGGATCGTCGCAGGAGCGTTTTTTAAGCCGAATGGCATTCGTGTAAATTCATAATGCCCATGTGGCGTGGAAAAAGCCGTCTTATGGGCATAATCCTTGTCCATTTTGATCTGGTTGAAACCCGAGGCAAGATCAAACACGCTGAAATATTTCGCACTGCCGAGCTGATCTAATATATCAGTAATGTTTGGTAACGGGTAGGCGTCACCTATGGTCTTTTTATTCAGGGCACGGTAGTCGATTACCATCCTCCATCGTTTATTTCCTTTTGAGTCTGGCTTCTTTGGGACGATCCAAAGAGGGGAGTTATAGGGGGAAGTGGATGGTTCAATTACTTCGTTTTCTAGTAGAGTTTTAATTTGTTTATTAATCTCTTTTTTGTGTATGGGAGGAAATCGGTATTGTTTGGTGTTTATCGGTTGGTCATTTATAGTCGGGATTTTGTGAGTAAGGACATTTGTACTGTGTAGTTTATCCGTGGGAAGCCAGAAAAGGTCACTGTTATCGTAGATTAATTTATTCACATGAATGTTCTCTTCTCGATTTAGGTGGTCTAACCGCAGTAAACCTTTTATTGTTTCGGCGCGAGTTTCGACGTTGGAGTTCTGGTGAGTAATTGACATTACGTGTTGAGTCTTGATTTCGTCATTCCCAGGATTAGGAAGATCTTTGTCGAGTTTGCTTACAATCTGTGGTAGGCACGTGGTAGCATATAGTTCTATCTCTTGAAGCTCCACAGTTGGGATTTCCATATTGTAATCCTCTTCCGTTGCGTTGATTATTCCAACGTAGGCAAGGTTTCAGCAAGTTCAATGTTGCAAAATTATTAAAATATCCCGTTTTCAAATAAATTTTATACTTATAATTTTTAACTTATAAGTATATGAATCATGGGACAAGAATAAAATTTATTTTACGTTAAACGCGATGTAATAAGCATGTATCTACATGACAAAATTTTATAACAAAAATTACGTACAGCAGTACAGCAGTACCCGCAGACTATGAAGGAATTTTTACTATTTTTACTATTTTTCACATAATGGTCATAGTATTTAAGCTTATATAATTTCCTCTTATAGTGCGCGGCTACTGCCGTATCATAGTAATTTTTGATATAAAATTTTCTTATACAAACAGCCCAGAAAACATTTTGCGCGTAAATATCTAGCAAATCGCGCACAAATATGGCTCATATTGCGCAAGCAAAACCCTATTCCAGTGCGTCGTCATAGCGGTAGCAAAACGCTAGCACTGCGTTCAATCTCAATAAGCGGTATGCACGCAAAACGCTAGCACACTTTGCGCACGATCTCAATAAGCGATATGTACGCAAAACGCTAGCACACTTTTACGCGTAATCTCAATAAGCGATACGTACGCCTGTTGCTTGCATATGATGCTGCAAAGTTTGCGCGATTTGAGAGTCATATGCACATGCGAGTTGAAAGCGATATGTACAGACGGCGTCATTATATAATGTGTCTTCCTATTTTATACAGTATACGTTACGTTATATCTTAATAAGCGATATGTACGCCTGTTGTTGCATATGATGCTGCAAAGTTTGCGCGATTTGAGAGTCATATGCACATGCGAGTTGAAAGCGATATGTACAGACGGCGTCATTATATAATGTGTCTTCCTATTTTATATTTTATATTTCGAACCTATTTCCGAGACGACGCCTCCTGTTCCCCCCACTACCGCCCGGCCGCCAGCGGCCGAGCGGTAGTGGAGGAACAAGAGGCGTCATCTCCTGAATCGGCTCGAAATGTGCAACTAATTCCGAGCGCTGTTTTAGATGATCTCGAATTTGTCGATTTCTTGAATTGCTTT